AGGCATGTGGAGCATGCCCTTCATCCCAGAACTCAAGAGGCAGAGACAGGCTGATCTCTTTCAATTCCAGGACAGCCCTTAGAGAAAGACCCTGTCTCAAAAAACCAAATAAAAATACAAATATTTTTTTAAAGAGGAGGGAAGGGCTGTGAGGGAAACAAGAGAAGGTAAATGGGGAGAATATGATAGAAAAATAGTATGTGTATGCTGAAAATATGATAGCAAAATCCATTTTTTGAGACAGGGTTTCTCTGTGTAGCCCTGGCTGTCCCAGAACTCACTCTGTAAACCAGATTGGCCTCCAACTCACAGAGATCCACCTGCCTTTGCCTCCCAAGTGCTGGGATTAAAGGCATGGGCCACTACCATCATGTGCAAAATCCATTTTTATGTATAACTAATAAATATTAATAAAGAACATTAAATAATCATTTAATACTTAGGAGGTAATTTAACTAAGAATGTGAAAGACTATGTAAGGAATCTACAAAACCTTGCTGGAAGAAGACTGAGTAGAAACACGTCTCATCTGCACATATTACAAAACATTAATGTGTCAATATAACTCAAAGCTGTCTACATTAATGAATGTTTATCAAAATTTTAATTGTAGGGCTGGAGAGATGGCTCAGCGGTTAAGAGAACTGGCTGCTCTTCCAGAGGACCGGGGTTCAAATCCCAGCACCCACATGGCAGCTCACAACTGTCTGTAATGAGATCTGATGCCCTCATCTGGTCTGCAAGGCATGCATGCAGACAGAACACTGTATACACAATAAATAAATAAATCTTTAAAAAAATTTTAATTATAATATTTTTGCAGCCTTGTTCACTGTAGTCAACTTATGGGATAGACTATGTTCCCATCAATGCACAAGTGGATAAAGAAAGTATGGCAGATATACACAACATAGCATTATTCCTCCCATGAAGAAGAAAAAAAGGCATGTAATAGCAGAAAAACAAATGAAGTGGAGACCACCATGCTCAGTGAAATATGCCAGGTCCAGAAGGACAAATGTCACATTTTCTGTCATATGCAGAGCCTAGATTTAAGTCCATGTAACTAGAAGGGAACTAACTACCAGGGAATAGGAAGGGGGAATAATGTGGTGGCTGATCGAAGTGCATTACATATATGTACGATACTGTCATAATTAAACCCATTATTTTGTGCAATTAGTACTCACTAATAAGAACCCAACCACTCCCAATCAAAACAGATCAAGTAGTTTTAGAGACTTTCTTTCATTGTAAACATCTAAATACTTGCAAACAAAAAGGGGAAATTGAAAAGCCTCCTCTCTCCACCCGTAAAGGTCCCTCCCTCTACAGTCCCAGCACCTATAGTAGTGGTTCTCAACCTTCCAAATGCTGCAACCCTTCAATACAGTTCCTTATGTTGTAGTGACCCCCAACAATAAAATTATTACCATTGCTAGTTTATAGCTGTAATTTTGCCACTGTTATGAATCATAATGCAAATATCTCTTTTATCTGATGGTCTTAGGTGACCCCATTGAAAGGGTCATTCAAATCCAAGGGGCCGTAGCTTACAGTTGAGAACTGCTGGTCTAGGCCATCATTAATATTTGTGAATGAATGCTGCAGAGACCACTGGTGTCTAAATTCAGCGAGGGAGGAGCACACAGAGGTCAGGCCACTTACAGAGGGGGAGCGCACCCTGCCCACATTCAGGAAACTGCCTGGCACCTGGCTTTACCTCAGTGAGACGCTCTTTTTTTCATAATGGTAAAACATTCATAGTGTAAGTTTTTACCATTTTACCCACTTGAAAGTGTCAGTTAAGTAGCATTAATTAAATTCACATTGCAACCAGCTATCACCTCTGTCTTTGTCTAGAACTTTCTTATCCCGAATGGGAACTGAGTACTCACTAAACATTAGCTTCCAGTTATTTCTGTGTGGTTCAGCCCTTAGATTGATAGTCTGGGGGTCTCCAAGCCTGTAACTTTTACAGTAATCTCAGAGAAACCGTACCACCCATGGCAGCCTTTTATGTCTGGCCTTGCCTTTTCACGTTAGTCGTAAAGGGCCATCCTGTCTTCCCCAGCCAGCATCTCTTTCCCTTGAAGGGGAGAGAACCTTATGTTGATACACAGATTTTTGGCAGTGGTGTCAATGACCCAGTGAAGCTATCGGGGTTACTCCTGGCCCAGTGTAGGGCCGGGGAACCAGCATCAGATGAAGGGAACGACTCCCAGAGGAGGATGCCCACCTTTCAGGTGTGACCCATTTCTCCATGGTTTCTGCACGTGGAGACAGCAGAAGGGAGGAGCCTTCTGATGGAGAGATGCCAAGTAGCCTCTGAGGACCCCTACTTCTGGTCATTCCAACTCATCATTTCAAATAGAAGGAAACCTGGGGAGGTAGGTGAGCTTTGTCACCACAGGTAACAGAAGGAACTCACTTGCTATGGTGAGAAGAGGAAGAGAACCACAGGGTGATGGGGCTTCACAGGAGGCCCAAGTCTCTAAGAACACCTTCCCTCACCCTCCGCTCCTCAGAGACTGGCTCCTCACTCTCCTCACCTCCTCTTCTGCAGCTTGACTTTCCTTCTTCCCCTCTTGTTCAGGACCCAAGTGAGCCAGTGTGACTGTGGCAACCCCTTGGCACTGCCACTGGGCATCATTGCAGACCTGGGTAGCAGCAGCTTGCCCAGCCAACCCAGGGATCCTCCCCACCAGGAGTGCGGGGTGGAGTGTGTACAGCACCAGCTTCCAGCTTCCCCAAGTCGTGTTTACTCTGCTACGCTGTGCAAATTGGAGAGTTTCTCTCAGTGAACATCTGGGAGGACCAGCTGGACACGTGTTTCCCTTCGCATTAATTTAGGCTCCTAATTAATCGTGTAAAACCTAAACCAAATAATCAGGAGCCAGGACTGAAAATAATCATTAGCCCCACCCCCCAACACACACATTTCAATGAGAACTTGGCCCAGGTGATGGGCGTAACTTGGCTCAGCGCTGTGGCGTGGTGTCCTGGTTCTCCACTGGGAGTTCACCAAAAAGAAATGCAGGGAGACAGATGGCCACTTGTCCTGTGCTGGGCTTCACCAAAGCCAATGGGTGGGGATTTGTGTCCAGTAATTTCTAAGGATGCCTTCCCTTAGCCAAGTGTGCTGTGTTGACTTGTGTCAGGTGGCCTGAGTTCAAACCCTCACTGTGGTAGCAGCTGCTGTGTGGCTGTCTGGCCTGCAGTTTTCTCTTCTGTAGAATGGAAGCATAATGTCTGTGTCTCACAGGTTATCGTGAATATTAAGACAATTTACTTCAAGGGCCTAGTTTTGACCATGGCACATTGTAATCTCAGTAAGTGGTTGTCATTCTTGTCTTATTTCATATAAAATAATCTCTATTATTAGTAGTCACATTAAAAAATAGAAAAGGGGACCATATCCATAAACCTAAGACATATTAAACCAACAGTTTGTGGCACAAAGGTATTTTTCTTGTCTTCCTTTGTCATCTGTCTTGGACCATAAGAATACAGCTGCATGCATAGTTGTGGTCATCTGATGTGAGATGTGTTGTTCTTCTTTGATAGCATGTGGACTGATGCTCTGCTGAAGCTTTATAGTACCAGAAGAGATGACTGACACATCTGTCTGCATCAGGGAGAGCATCCCGGCCAGAGGGAAGTAACTGTGCCTGGTGACTAGAGTCTGGCAAATGCTCATTTTGTAACCTCCTCCTATGCTGAGAGCAGGACTTCCTGAAAAGGTTTATTGAGTGTTTCAAGGGCATCTTGCACATCAGAGAGGTGTGAAGAGGCCGATGTTGCCCAAATGCATCCGAGGCCATGGGATGTCTTTGCTGCACTTGAGGTTACCAGAAGGAGGTTTGGGGTTACAGGAAGGAGGTTCAAGTTATTTATTTTTGTTTCAGTGTTTAAAACTGGTATGTATGCCAGGCGTGGTAGTCAGGGTTCTCTAGAGGAACTGAATTTACAGAATGGATGAGTATGAGTGTGTGTGTGTGTGTGTGTGTGTGTGTGTGTGTGTGTGTGTGTGAAGGGGGTTTATTAGAACGGCTTACAGCCTGTGGTCCAATGGCTATCTGCAAACAGAGTTTTGAGAATCCAGTAGTTATTCAGTCGATGAGACTGGATGTTTCAGCTGGTCTTCAGTGAACACTGGAATCCTAAAGCGATAGACTGTAATGCCAGTGAAGGAAGGGACTTGTCAGCCAGAGCAAGAGCAAGCATTCGAAGAGAAAGTCAGCTTCCTTCTTCCGTATCTTTCATATAGGCTGTCAGCAGAAGGTATGGCCCAGACTAGAGTTGGATCTTCCCACCTTAAAGATCCAGATTGGAAGTGGGTCTTCCTACTTCAAATGATTTAATTAAGACAAAAAAATCCCTTACAGGTACGTCCAGCCATTTGGGTTTTAGCTAATTCCAGATGTAGACATCCAAGAATAGCCAACACATTAGGCAAGCACTGTATCCAAGAGTTTTTCAAAATTTGAGTCAGGGTCTTGCTAAGATTCCCAACCTGGCCTTGAACTAATTGTAGCCTGAGTACAGCCAAGAAATTGAGGTCCTCCTGCCTCAACTCCCAAGTAGCTGGGCTGCAGGGCTGCACAGCTCTTTGAGGATGTGTTGATATTGATCTTTCTTCCTTTCCTTTCCTTTTCTTTCTTTTTGTTTTTTAGTATTTTGGAGCCAAGAGGATTGCTTTATTTGTCTCACTGTGATACATTACAGAGCAGGAATTTTTTTGTAATATTCATATACTTTAACATTTTAAGCACCCTATGATGAAACCTGAGTTTCCTAATACTTTTTTTCTGGGATTTTCCAAAGGATAGGTAGGAACAGATCAATAGCTATGGATATATCACAAAGAGAAGCATTCTGAAGCCATTGAAAGAACAAAGACTATCTCCATGTGATGACATTTCAGTAATAAGAAAATATTAACATCGTATACAAATGCTACCCTTCACATATTCCCCTTTTTCTTTATCTTCCCAAAGACCCTTGGAATGCAGTGGAACCAATCACAGAGCAAGCATGGGCAATTACCTCCTAAAAGGCAAATCTGACTGCCGAGTGGTCTGCCTGTGCAAGCTGCCTCCAGGTAAGTGAGCTGCAAACTGCTGCCTGGGCCTGGAGTTGCAACTCTGCTTGCCTCTTCCATCCAGCTCTCTCTCCTGCTTCAGACTCCTCCCAGCTTCCAGATGTACAGACTCCTTCCCTTGACAATGCTCTAGACTATACTCCAAGGCTCCTGTCCTTTGACAATGCTCTAGACTGCACCCCTGGGCTCCTGTCCCTTGACAATGTTCTTGACTGCACCCCAGGACTCCTGTCCCTTGACAATGCTCTAGACTGAACCCCAGAACTCCTTCCCTTAACAATGCTTTTGATGCCCCCCAAACTCCTACCCTTGATAGTGTTCTAGACTGCACCCCAGGGCTCCTTCCCTTGCAATGCTCTAGGCTGCACCCCAGGGCTTCTTCTCTTGACAATGCTCCTGATGCTCCCCAGGCTTCATAACCTCTGACTTCTTCAACAGGAAGTTTTCCCCAAATGACACTTCATTAAATTTCTCTCCTGTATCTTCTATACTGCTTCTATACCTTAAAGTTCTTCCAGAAGAACAGAGCCATGGGAGACTCCTGTCTCTTTAATTTGATGTCCTGGATGGTTTCTGGCTCTCTCTAGCTAGTGGCCTGATGAGTTTATGGGTGAGGAAAGAGCATCTACACTTCCAACCTTGATTCTGAAGCAGGCAGATAGACAGAGCCGCTACTCAGGGCCACCTAAGCCAATCTTCACTCATAGATGCAAGAGCTTCTTACAGTCTGAGCCCAGGTCTCTGGCATGGCCCTCCTCTTCCCAGGGCCAGAATGGCCCTCCGTTGTCCTTTGGGTTTATGTAACTTGTCTTCTTGACTGTGCTTTGGATTCTGCCTGTCCTGGCCAATGACTTTGAGCTACCTCAAGGAACACTCACTCACATGCTCCCTTCTAGACATCACGGAAGAAAAGCAAGGTCTTTCGAAGTCCTGCCCCGCCCCATCCTACCTGCTCCTTCCCCAAGACCTTCTGCCTCATCTGTCAACCAAGAAGGCAGTTAATATACAAGCTTCCAAGATGGTGGGTCAGAACTGAAGGCTGCTCATGCCCAGGAGTGGAATAGAAGATTCCATGCAAAAGCCTTGAAGGGCCAGACAGGATGGCGCCTTTCTGTGAGCCCAGCACCCAGGGGACTGAGACTGGGGAACCCCGAGTCTGGGTTACACAGTAAAACCTTTTCTCAAAACAAAACGAAATGGAAAAAAGCAAACTGCTGGAGGATTTTTGGTGGTAAACCAAGCAGAGATGCTCGGCAGCTTTAAAGGTACTGTGCTTGCGGCTGTCGGTGCCAGAAGCAGCAACTCAAAGCGGCATAAGCAAGACAGGTTGTTATTCATACAGGTGCTTGGAAATTATCCACAAAGGGTTCAGGCTGAGGCTGGGCAATCTCACTAAAGACCGGCTTTCTTCCTATGACTGAAAAGTGACTTTCAGGTGGTCTTGGAGACTTCAGATCTCATTGTTGAATCCAGGAAAGAAGAGGGAAATACCTTGCTTCTGGCATTTCTAAAAATTCTTTTACTGTAAACAGACTTAGGTGGCTTCTGCCCTACTTCCAGCCAATGGCCATGGCTACGGGGAGGGAATGAGCAGATGGGAAGGTCTGGTGTCTCCTGGAATGACAGACGTTGACTCCTCCAGAACACTTTTGTGTAGAAAGCAAAAAAGGGAAAACAGGGACACGTTCTATGGAGGCCACTAACCAATGTGCATCCGTGGCCTGATGGGAATCCTAAAATGCTGATCAAAGCAATTTCCCTTGGTGAGTGGGGAAATGACTGGCGGCTGGGTGCACACACTGTGGGACTGTGAGCTGGCCTCTGCCTAGAGCAGGAGAAGAGTGTTTGGTTGGGATTTCACAGCATTTGGGCAGGTACACAGTTGGGCTGAGCACACATGCTTGCAGGTGTCTCTGGAATGGATACCAGAGCCACGAGTTGGCACCTTGCTTGGCCATTCCTGTGGCCACGTTCCCATTGTCCCCACATAGGTGTGGCAACATGAATGTCTCTCATTACATTTCCTTGTAATCTGGACATTAATCCAAGCACAAGGAATGTAATGCTAACCCACACGATGCAGGAGCAGCAACCTCAGCCTTCTTGTCGTCACAGGTTAGCAGCACAGCCCCCTGTGAGAGCTTGTTTACTTATGCAATACCCAGGTTTTACTTGGTTCAATGTACTGTGTTACAACAACCTAGCAATTTGCATGTTCTTCCTGATTATCTGGTAATTAAACCCAGTAAGTACAAACATACTGTAATTATCGTGTAACCGGCCATCTGGACGGAGGGATGGAAATAACCGTGTATTTACGCTATAGCTGTATGATAATTATGACGTAATGGAATGATCAACCATGAACAAGAAAGAGGATTTGCTGAGAGTCACGAACATGCTTTAACATGTTTCTAGAATTAATTCTAGCATTAATTTTCTAGAAATAGCCAGCAGCACTGAAAGGCAACTGGCTGATGAATCCTATCCAAATGGAGTCACTGAAGGCATCGCTCAAGATGAACTAATAAGGAAGGGAAGGCAGAGCAGGAAGCCAATGTGCCCACTCATTTATTTGGATCTTGTTTACACTTCATTGGACATCACTAAGCATTTGTTTATTTGAACTGTTCCCCCATTTGCATCAGACAAATCAGTGCCCATCAGTAAATGAGAATGCGTTTAAAATTGGCTGATATGTTTTGTTTTATAGGTCTTAGACTCTTGGAGAAACAAATAGTTTGCAGATAATAGCATTTGTACTGTTGTAAAACTGTGTGTAAAGCACCCTCACCCTGTTGGACAGAGTGGTCACTGTAGTAACCTGGCCAGTGGGTGGCTTGAACATTAAGCATCACGCAGGGATACGTATACAGGAGGAGAGGAGGGAAAAAAGCGAATGTGGGGCAGGAAGGTGGTCAAAGTCGTAACCAGGTAGGCAGCTGGCAAACATCCAAGCTACTAGGCCTGAACTGAGCTGTCTCTATCAAGTTCAAGATGTTGGTAAGGTAATATGCATCACACAATGTTTCCTTAGAAGCATTTTTAAAGAGTTGGTTGTAATCACACTCACATAAAGATGCGGATTCGGGGTTTTTTATTTTCAATTTTCTCCTCCTCCTTCCTCCTTCTCCTCCTCCCCTCGTTTCTCTCCCTCTCACCTTCTTCCTTCTCTTTTTCCTCCTCTTCTTCATTTTTGGTAGGCTCTTGCTATATATCACATGCAGGCCTCGAGCTCAAGGTCTTCCTTCCTCGGCCTGCTGAGTGCTGGGTTCTAGGTCTACAGGCATATGCCACCATGTCTGACTTTCATTTGAATCATAGATTTCTGTTTCAGAAACCCAAAGGAACATATGGAGAAGGTACTTCTAAACCATCGTTGTAGGATGTGGCTGCCTCTTTCAGGTGGCTTTTGCTGTCTCTATTCCTCCTATAAGTGTTCCTCACGTCATTGTGCCTGTTGGTGATTCAGCATCTCCCAAAGGACACTGGGCTGTTTTCTCTGCCATTTTCTTTCCAATCCCACCCGTGTTGGACAGCATCATCTGCAGCTTAATCATTTATGGTAGCTCTGAAATGGTATTTACAACATTGATTGAGTTAGGATTTGAAGGTTTTTCTCCCTGTAAATATTTATATGAATGTTATATGAATAAAAGGAATCAAGTGAACAAAGCAGTCTTTTAGGCTAAGATTACTCAAGCTCCTTCACTCTGAGTCCAGTTACAGGATCTTCACCGAAGTGGTTTATCACAGGTAAAGGTTAATGAATACACAGGTCTGTGTTATTTCAGTTTCCTTCTAATTCTCACAATTTTACTTAGGATCACTTGTTTACAGTCTGACAGCTGTCTGTTGTGTGACTGACGTTTCCAGGGGAGACACAACACACAAAGTCTACTCACTCCAGATAGGGAGTCCCCAACAGACCAAAGTAAGGATGCCGACCAAGGTCCAACTTGGTGAACCAATGAGTTTATTGGAGTGACTTAAAGTAATATGGATGAGGGGTTACTTACAGGAGCAAAAATGACTCAAAAACAGCTGCATCATCAAAGCCCACCCCATAGCATGGATGACAGCTCACAAAAACTGGAAACCTGGAGCACACCACACAACCTGCAGGAAAGAGCGTCCTTGCCCAGTGCCTCAGTTTGTCTGAACCTGTGGCTCAGCTGGCTTCTCCTTCTTCCAGGCAGTAGATCATGTCTCAGAGTCTTCTCTGTAGCTTGGCTTGTCTGAGAGTGGCTCTCAGTAGTCTTTGTTGTTTCCTTTAGAGAAGAAGCCTAGTGAGTCAAGTCAGTTTCAGGGACTTCCTGATTTTAAGTTGTTTTCTTTCTGTCTAAAAGAGCTTCTGTGCAACAATGTCCCAGTAACTACATTTCTGTTGCTTTTTCTTTCTTTGTAGAGACCAGGATCTTGATTACCTCCGTGTGAGCCTCTCTCCATCCATCTGCAAAGAGACTGTATTTTCCTCTCCTTTCTCTCTGTCTTGCCAAGAGTCTTTCCTAAGAGCTGCCCAGGAATGTAAAGGTGTGAAGGTGAAGAGTGAGGTTCATATCTGTGTGAGGACTTTGCTCACAATTTTAAATTACCTAATAAAGTTGAAGCAAAAGAGGGGTATTTATCAAAGGTCACATAAGTGACCTAATGTTGTGTGCCTTTAAGACCCCCCCTTTGCTTCCTGTTCCCATTAAAGGTACTTGAGTCTCTGTGAATATTCCTTTCTTCTAGTTTCAATTATGAAAACGTTACCAGGGAGAGTCTTGATTGTTTAATTTAAGTAGTATGCCTTATCTCTTTATTCCCAATGATTGGTTCAAAGATGGGTATATGCCTACTTTGGACTAATGAGAGCAAACTCCAGGATCTTTGGAAGACCAGCTGGGAGTCCCTCCTACTTTGGCCAACCTGTGTTACAGTGTGAAACCATAGCTGTTGTACTCAATCACCGTCAGCACAGGGAAGCCTGGAGCTGAAAGAGGGCTCTGTTTTCCCTGGGAAATGACTGGATATAGAGAAGTAAGGGTGAATTCATGACTACGTTATTTCAGCCAGAATTAGCCAGAATTCTGAAAAGCCAGGAAGACCTTAAGGCTTTCTAGTAATGTGACTAAATCTTATTAAATTGGGATCATTAGAAATAAGCAAGCTTTTAAATTCATGTATAATGAGACACAAGTAATATAAAAATTAATTTTAAAAAATTTTTGTTCATGATGGTTGATAGTGGCACACACCTTTAATCCCAGCATTATGGAGGCAGGGGCAGTTGAATCTTTGTGAGTTTGAGGCCAGCCTGGTCTACAAAGCAAGTTCCAGGACAGCCAGGGCTGTTACACAGAGAAACCTGTCTCAAAAAATGTTTATTTTTTGTATTGTTTTTAATTTTAACTTTAAATTTCATATATATAGCATGTTACTTTATTTAATATTTAAATTCTTTATATACACATACACATGTACATATATACACAAGCACATGCATTAACTTCAGGAGGCTAAGGACAGAGGTCTTAAAAGTGACTGACATGCTCCCATTGTGACTTACAACTTCACCAAATGTTTCCCTTCTGATCCCTGCTTCTTGGAGTTTTCCAAATCTCACTACATCGCTGTTCATGAATTTTATCCTATTCATAAATTAACCATGGCAGTGAGCCTCAGCAAACTTCTGGACACAGAAATATAGACTTTCTAGAACATACTGGTCCTTGTATCTACTGCTTCTGTGGGGGGGCATTCTTCACTCTTTTCCACTTTCCCCAGTGGCCTTCAAGGGTTCATACACATGACTCAGCTGCTGTCTCTCAGCAGTGGATCTAAACTCCCAGGAGGGAGATGCTAATTGGACCAGTTTAGGTCAGAGGTCAGTCTTTGATCCAACAACTATGGTCAGAATGCCAGAGTCACCAAGGATACAAACTGGCTCTCAGGCCACAGGAGGTGGGGGGTGGGGAGGGAGGTCCTGAGAGGAAGAGGCCTGGGGCATGTTGGGAGAAGCTTAGTCCCTGGAATGTGTCCACTCCGAGTGGTCCCTTCAGGGCTTGGGGCCAAGTTCCTCTGTATAGCCTCGTGTGGAAATGGAAAGGAAATGGGGGTAAGTGCTGTAATGTAAGGGAGGGATGGGAAGTTCTCCCCTGTTCTCAGCAATGACAGGTGCATTGCAGGGGCCGCAGAGACACGTTGCTTGTGTTATTTGGCCATTGTGAACCAAACACAGAGAAGTTTTCTTTAACATGGCTGTGAAGGACTCCTGAGTCCCTGGCCAGGTTCTGTGCACAGCACTTTCTCATCCATGAGTGCAACGATCTAGAGGCTCCCCTCGGGGAACAGAGCCCATGGCCTCATCTGACAGACAAGTAAGCTGAATGATTTCTTTGGTCTATGGTTCCCAGTGTGAGCATCTCCTGGGAATTTGCTGGAAATAAATCCGAGTTTGCAGTATTGCTTTTGGCAGCCATTGTAATTCTGGTGCCCACCAAGGCCTTGACCCCTTTGCCAGGCCATTTCTATGCAAGCTTTGCAACCCTCAAGGAAGGCTTGGCCCATGAGTGCTCATGCCTGTGATCCCAGTCTGAGTTCATGAGGGCTCTGATGCTGCAAAAGGGCATTTCGAATCAAAGATCCCTGCTTCTTGATTGTTACTTACCAGTGACATCTGGGGAAGCCTGGCTCTGGCCTCCGGTCCCGCTGGTGGCTTTTCCCAGGCAAGGCCAGGCTAGCCAGCCTTGCCACATCCTTCTGTACCTTCACACAGTGCAAGGTTGGAGTTGAATGAAGAGCGTATGCCACTGTCCAGATTTTCTTGCTTTCTCCTTGTTCTTACCCAACTCCTCTTGCCTCTCATTCTTCCCTGAGGACTCCAGGCAGACCCTTAGTGAGATGATGGTTGACAAAGCTGACTTATCAGGGCTTTCATAACAGCATGGGCTGTGTGTGATCCATGTTGTCTTGGTATGGGGTTCATTCTCTCAATGCCCATTGCAGGGGCCCAATACCCATGTGTGTCTGGTTGTGGTGAAATACTTCCTCATAGAGTCAGTAATCTCAAAGTGTTGACACTCAAGTCCTTCCGGAACTTCAACCAGTGCTTCTGTCCCGACCTACTGTATCCCCAAGACTTGTTACCTGTAAGGAGCCACAAGAAACAGATTGGCTGACATATGCAGGAGAGAAATTAGTCCAAGGTTATGGGAGGTGCCATGCCACAAAGAGGTCTGAGAGGCACCACTTGGGGGTCAGAGTTCTAAGGGATGCCTATTGTCTCACAAGAAGAGCTGGCAAAGGAGGCCATTCCTATGGTCAAGATACACAGCTAACCTCACTGGGGTGACCTTGCTGCTTGTGTTCCTTCCCATACACTGCCACCCCCCAGTATTTCCCAGTTCCATCCTGTTTGTGTCTCGAGGATCCAGAAAACAACAACAACAAAACACCCAGGGATAGATGCTTCTGACTAGTGAACCATAGGTCGCATACCTCTGTTTTAGCTGCAAGGGATCCTGGGAAGGGGAAATTTGCTGCAAGGAAGTTGGAAAGTTTCTTCTGGAGGTTCAGTATTTAACTCTGCTGAAATAAATGGGCAGTAGAGTGTCTAACAGAAGAAAATGCATTCGAATGTACTACTGATAATGTGTATGGAGCTGTGTGAAACAGGAGGATTGGAGAAGGAGCAGATTGAGGTTTCAATAATGTCTTCATGGGGGAAAGCAGAGGGCTGTGGGTAATTTTAGAGAATAAAACACTTGTAGGAGAGAGAAGGGACCAAGAGAACACACAGTAGGCACTAGGTTTTTTGTTTTTTTTTTTTTTCGTTTTTCGAGACAGGGTTTCTCTGTATTCTCTCTGTGTTTTGGAGGCTGTCCTGGAACTCACTCTGTAGACCAGGCTGGCCTCGAACTCACAGAGATCCGCCTGCCTCTGCCTCCCGAGTGCTGGGATTAAAGGTGTGCGCCACCACTGCCCAGCTAGGCACTAGGTTTGTCATCTGATATTCTGTCTCTTTCACTGTGTGAGGAGTTTGTTCTTCCTTGAGTAAGGACTTGTCATGGAGAAGATCTGAGGGCAGTTGGCATGCCCATCAGTTAGTTGTTTTCTAGGTAGATAAGAGACATTCAGAGAAGACTCCTCTCTGCACCAACTCTTTCCAAAGTCTCTCACTTTTAAACCAAAGTACAGTACTTGAAGTCCCATTTACTGGAACTCAACATGGTTGTTTTTACATTTTAATGAGGGAGGTGGAGTATTCTTTTTCCAAGGTTCAGAAGGTGGGCAGTTGTCGTGGGATATTTGTACATAGTGTGAAGATGTATTACTGTAATTGTTGCATAATAAAAAAAAAGGAGCTGGGCAGTGGCAGTGCATGCCTTTAATCCCAGTACTTGGGAGGCAGAGGCAGGCAGATCTCTGTGAGTTTGAGGCCAGCCTGGTCTACAGAGTGAGTTCCAGGACAGCCTCCAAAGCTACAAAGAAACCCTGTCTCAAAAATCCAAGAAAAAAAAAAAAAAAGGAATGACCAATAGCTAGGCAGAGGGTATAAGTAGTATTTTCAGGGACAGTAAAGGAAGAGGAGGAGGAATTTATGCTAGCAGAAGTTTCAAGGAGATACAAAGAGGAAACAGAAGATGCAAAATGGAAGAGAGGTAATGTCACATGATAGAATATAGATTAATATAAATGGGTTAATTTAAATTATAAGAGCTGGTTATGAACAAGCCTAAGCTATAGGCCAGGCTTTCATAATTAATAAGAAATCTCCATGTCATTATTTGGGAGCTGGTTGAAGGGATAGAAAAGGACTCATTACATACGGCATCCAACATGTGGACACATATTTCCACATAGGACCTGAGAAAGCTTTATAAAAAGTTCCAAACACACAAGCATGGAACCAGACATGGCTTCCTAGTCCTGCAGTCTCAGGCAGGCCACAGCATACAGACACAGCTTCCAGCTGCTGCCTGCAGGCTTGAGCCAGCCAGTGCTATGCTAGGAGATGTGTTGTGGGTTTAAGACTTGGCTCATGTGGTCAGAGAAGACTGCAAGTGTGCATCAAAGTGTCCCCACAGAGAAAAATCTTTAAACAGGTCCAGTAAAAAATGGTATAGACAGCCATATAAAACAGTTTAAAAATAATAAAGTCATGCTCACTTCGGCAGCACATATACTAAAATTGGAATAGTACAGAGAAGATTAACATGCACAAGGATGACATGCAAATTCATGAAACATTCCATATAAAAAAACCCAAAATCTTTAAAAAGAGAGTAAATTATTGTAAAAGGTAAAGGCCACTTAAAGATGGGAAAATATACAGGGCATCTGGATCCTGTGTGACTTTAAATTTTTGATTGCCAATGATCGGATGGCAGTTGCTGAAAGACATTGGATTATCATAGGGACTGCTGATTCAAACTAGTCTATATACTTGAGAGATGTCTTGGCATCAGAATGGAAGTTGGGAAATGTGTTGCATTGGAGGAGAGGATATGCCTTTGATTACACAGGAAACAGAAAGTTATGGTTCTCTTAAAACTTAATGAAGGTCAAATTTTATTGGGGGAGACCTCAAAATCTTGGCTATAGACTGAAGAAAGAAACCAAGAAAGACTATAGGACAGGTGATGTATATGCTGAACCCTTTACTATGGGAATAGCTCTAAGACTGGATAAGACATGATAAATCTTATTGACTACAGA